ACTTCTTCATTTTTGGGTCACAAGTGCTCATGTCCAGCTATCACCGTGCAAGAGGTGGGACACCCTGGACTCGTCTCCAGTCCATCACAGGGACACTTTGATTAAGGATGGATTTTTGTCCACGATTAAAAAACAAGATTTAACTCTTGTCTGCACAAAAGGTTCTTCATTTCTAAAGTTAAGTTGAAAATGTGTAGTAATATGTTTAAAATGAGATTCTAGATATCCATCCATCCATCCATCCATCCATCCATCCATCCATCCATCCATTATCTTCCGCTTGTTCCAAGGTCGCGGGGGCAGCAACTTGAGCCAGGAGGCCCAGACATCTCTCTCCACAGCCACCTCTTCCACCTCTTCTGGGAGAACTCCAAGGCGTTTCCAGACTAACTGAGAGACATAGTCTCTCCAGCGTGTCCTGGGCTCTCCTCCCAGTCGGACATGCCTGAAGCAGCTCCTTGGGGAGGTGCAGAGGAAGCATCCTTACCAGATGCTTGAACCACCTCAACTGGCTACTCTTGATGTGAAGGAGCAGCGGTTCTACTCCAAGTCTCTCCCGGATAACTGAACTTCTCACCCCGTCTCTAAGGGAGAATCCAGCTACCCTGTAGAGGAAACTCCTTTCAACCACCTGTATCTATGATCTCATTCTTTTGGTCACTACCTGGAGTTCATGATCATAGGTGAGGGTAGGAATATAGACCAACTGGTAAACAGAGAGCTTTGGTTTACAGCTTTGCTCCCTCTTCACCACATCGGAACGGCACAGAGTCCACAACACTGCTGACACTACACCAATCCATCTGTCAAGCTCACGCTCCATTCTTCCCTCACTCATGAACAAAACCCCGAGATACTTGGACTCACCCTCGACCTGGAGAGAGCAATCCACCTTTTTCCAGCTGAGGACCACGGCCTCAGATTTGGAGGTGCTGATTCTCATCCCAGCCGCTTCACACTCGGCTCCGCTCCAGGGAGAGATGAAGATCATGGCACGATGACGCCAACAGGAGCACATCATCTGCAAAGAGCAGAGATGGAATCCTGAGGCCACCAAACCAGAAACCCTCCGCCCCCTGGCTGCACAGAGAAATTCTGTCCATAAAAGTTATGAACAGAATCAGTGACAACTGGCAGCCCTGATGGAGTCCAACTCCCACCCTGAAGAGGTCCAACTTACCGGCAATATGAACCAAACTCTCACACTGCTGGTACAGAGACCGAACACCCCATAGGAATGGGCCCCCAGTCCCATACTTACGGAGCACGCCCCACAGTGTACCCCGAGGAACATGGTCGAATGCCTTCTCCAAGTCCACAAAACACATGTAGACTGGATGGGCAAACTCCCATGACCCCTCGAGGATCCTAGTGAGGGTAAAGAGCTGCTCCAGTGTTCCACAGCCAGGACGAAACCCACATTGTTCCTCCTGGATCCGAGGTTCGACCAACGATCTGACTCTCTTCTCCAGTACCCCTGAATAGACCTTACCAGGGAGAACTTTATGCCCTAATTGGGACACACTTTCCTTTTTGAAGAGGGGAACCACCACCCCAGTCAGTCTGATACTAAATAGTCTTGTTATAAATCAGGTTGGATAGAAAATGATTTTTATGATTCAGCATTGTAAACATAACTGTCAATTTCTATAGATTTAATTCAATTTCAATTCAATTCAATACTTTTTTGGGGGTGCCTAATGCTTTATTGTTAATTTAAAGCTTTTATTAAACATTTATACCTTGCACACATAATGAATCCTGTGGCGTGGCTGCATTTCTGTAATCCTGTGGATGCGAGTTCGATTCCAACTTACAACAGACTGTATATTCAACGAAAAAAAAATAAAACAATTGCCATATCTGTCATGTGAGTTTACTTGCTGTGGTGACCACTGACAGAGAGAGTAGCTGAAAGAAAAACACCCTATTAAATGCCGTGCACACAACTCTTTATGAATGAGACAGTAAGTAAAGAAACTCTGCTGCATCGAGACACTTTTATTTTAGTTTGTACTCTAATTAATGCATTGCGGTTTTCCTGAAATTTTTTACATTTAAATTAGATCCTGAAAAAAAAAACATGTCCCTTGAAATTATGCATGATTGTTGATTATAATTTTTTTAATTTGTTTAAATTTTGACTCCTGATAGGGTGAAAAAACAACATTTATTTTTAAATCACAAGCAATTAGAGCTTCACGGCTCATTCCTCACTCCCTTTTAGTTAAAAATGCAATTTGCCATTGGTCTGCATGCATAAATACATAGAAAAATGCATTTTCTACAGCAGTCTGGCATAAAAGTATCTGTGAATGTTAGTTTTAATAAGTACTGTATTGACCCCCGTGACCCAAAATGGAAGAAGCGGGTAAAAGATAATGGACAGATGGATAAGAACAGTATTTTTCAGGCTATAAGGCACACTTAAAATCCTATAATTTGGTCAAAACTCGACAGTGAGCCTTATAATCAGGTGCGCCTTATGTATTAATTCTGTTTGTGCTTATTGACCACGACCCGATTTTATGAGGTTATTGTGAATGAGTTGAATAAAGTTTGACTTCTCTGACTGTTTTGTTTCACTTAATACTGTGTTCACTAGTTACAGAACAATATCCTTGTTGCCACAATTTTCAAAAATATTAGAGAAATTATTTGTAACCAGATTAAATCGATTCATAGATAAACACAATATTTTAATTAATAGTCAGTATGGGTTTAGAGCAAATAATTCAACATCAATGGAACGGACTGGAATGGAGTTCTCATGGAACTAATAGAAGAGATAACAACAGCTGTTGATCAAAAACAGTAAAGTGTTGGTGTTTTTGTTGATTTAAAAAAGACCTTCGACACTATTGACCACACCATCTCCTTGAAAAACTGAATAATATGGCATTAGAGGATTAGCAGTGGGTATCCAGTTATTTAAATAATAGGAGACAGTTTGTACAACTATGTAAGATCAGAATTTTGTGTTAATGGATGTGGAGTTCCTCAGAGCTCTGTGTTGGGACCAAAGTTATTTATTTTCCATGTGAATTTCCATGTGAATGATCTGGTTGATGTGTCAGGGTTTTTGAAGTGTGTTTTATTTGCACATGATATCACATTTTTTTGTTCGGGTGAAGATATTGAACGGATGTTAGAAATGATACAGGCAGAATTTGTAAAAATACAAACTTGGTTCCAACTTAATAAGTTATCATTAAATTTGGAAAAAAAACAAAACAACTACATGATATTTAGCAATAGAAAGAAAATTATCAAAGTCCCACATAAAATTGACAGAATATAAATAGAGTTAATGAAATAAAATTTTTGGGTGTCGTTGTTGATGAGAAGCAGGCATGGAAATCTCATGTAAATTACTTAAGAATGAAAATGGCTAAATCAATCCCATTACTGTATAAAGTAAAAGAGTTTTTGAATTGTAGTGAACCTGATCTGAACCTGATCTGACCTCAAATCTTGATCAGATGAACAGTGACTGTT